AGCTTGAAGAGATCTTCATCAACAGAAAGAACTGATAGATCTGTTGCTTCCTCTATGGCAGCAACTACATGATCAAATTTTGATGTCAAGCTTCTAAAAATTTTAGCAACGATCGTTTCATTTGAAATCTGCTCACCATAGGAACGCATTTGACCGACTATTGCCATTGTTCGTGACAAAAAAATCAGCAACTGATTCACCATTCTTCATCATCAAGGTTTCAAAGTTACGCCTTAGTGATTGCAACTTCACTGCCATGACCTTTGAATCACCTTGAAATTCTTTTTGTAAGATTGACCATGCCTCTTTCGATGTGGTTGCTGCTGCAATCTGTGAGAAAATAGTCTCATGGACTGCTTGTTGAAGAATGAACAACGCCTTGGCATCTTTCTTCTTGATTTCTTTCGGATTCTCCTCCTCCTCTTCATTGGTTTCAAATATTTCTATGAACCCATACTCTACCAAGTCCCATAGCTCCTGCGATTTGAGCAATGTCTTCACCTTGATTCTCCACCCCTCATATTACTCACCATTAAAAATGGGTATGAGTGGTTGAGAAGAAGAAAATCCAACTAGTGCCGCCATTGTTGTATAGTTTTTTTTAAAAGCCAAAGTAACTCTCTACCTCTTTTTCTCTCGTGTTTCCCTGAAAGACCAAAAAAAAAAAATATCACTCAATACCCAATGAACCCAAGTTGTTCGCTCAAATGGCCACAAGACCACAATGGCTCTGATACCAAATTTGTTGGGCAGAGAGTAGAAAATAAGCAGAAACATAGAAGAAAGGAACTTAAAGCTGTCAACTTTGTTTTTAATATTGCTTGACTTGAATAGATAACAACATATGCCCACATACATATAGGCTGAAAGAAACAAAACAGACCTAATATCTAGGACCTGTAACCCACTACTGCACTTTATTAGCAAAGCTAACTTGACTTGAGTAAATAAAGGAAACTACTTAACAGAAACCAAAAGACTAGTTCAATCAAACTATCCATTCCCAATTTACTACACAGTAAAGTTTTGAATCACTCTTCGACATGCTGTTCTATTTAATTTGAGGCTTAGTGAACTATGACACCCTTCCTAAAATGTGGTTGTAGTCCTAGCCTCCTAGATGCTCTTTAAATGTATCGATTAATACGATTTATTTCAAAGTTATCTATATTATTATAAAAGTATGAATACAATGTCGTTTACAAAAATAATCTTATTATATTAAGCACAATAACTCATAAGGAAAGGACACAATTGGGAATATTACATATTAGAATAAAGACTTGTAGTAGAATAAGGAATTAACTCACGCTAATAATATGCTGCAAAATTAATATTGAGTATAGAGAAATAATTTTAAAAGGCTTACGAACCAAATTGCTGCAATGAGTAGTGATACATCTCCTGTCCTCTAGAAGCCTTAAAAAATCACGAATGATCTTTTCTATTCTTTCTTCATTCAATTGAATGTTTTCTTGATCTCCTACAATTTCAACTCTTAGTTACCTATTTTATAAATTAAATAAAAAATGAGCAAATTAAAATTCTAAGAATCTTTCGGGTCTTCGTGATCTCGAAGCTAATCAAAAGTTACAAGCATCCTTTATCCAAAAAAAAAAAAATTATTGGATCACAATCTAAAAGCTAACATGCATCCTTCATGATTTTTCTCATTCTGCAAGTACTTTGGCAAATAGACGTGTTTCGTCATGCCCTTAATCTCTCTAACCTTTTCTTTGTTTCTTTGCATATTGTGTACTCAATTTTTGAAAACCTTATAGGTACCCAAGAAGAATAAAGAGCAGCAGATTAGGAAAATTACCTAATCAATTACCTTAACGCATGATTGCAGGGTGATCAAATGGAGTTAAGCTATTTATATTTATCAATCTATATCTATATCTATCTATCTATATTTTATATTTATTATAAAATCATAATACAATGTCAGTTTACAAAAATAACCTAATAGTATTAAGTATAATAACTCATAATAAAAGGACATTACCGAAATTCTAGCTATTAGCATTATAATCCTATTAGTTTTAGTACATAATACAACATGTTAGGAATCTTACGTGATTACCTTTAGGATTCCTATTAGTATAATTACTTTCGGGTTGTCTAATTCATATAAAATTGAACAAGTAAATATCTTTAGTCATGTAATCCTATTACTTTTAGGATATAGCTCTTAAAAATTCCTATTACTAATTAATTTGAAAACGTATTATAATGTCCTATTACTAATTTAATTTGAGAATGTAAAATATTTTCCAAATTCATTTAGAAAAAAGAGAGCATATATTATTATAAAAGCTTAAATACAATATTAATATACCAAATTAACCCTAAAATATTAAATGGAAGAACTCATAGGGAAAGGACGTAACTGTAATTACCTATTTGTTTGGACTACAATACCTTCTCTGCTAATTTTTAATATTTAAGATTTTAAAATTAATAAAATTTTGTCTATTAAATTCTCATTAAAAATATTTAGGAAGGTTTAATAAAATTAATTTTATAAGAATCCTCTATATTGAGAATTCATTACCACTCCATAATGTCCAATATCAAAAAAATAAATAAAAATAATATTAAATGGACTGCATAAAGAGTTGAAATTGAGATGGGAAAAAATCCCCATGATAATATATTTCTATATTATATTGGAACTATTTTCCTACTCAAATAATATTTTTTTATCAATCTTTCATGTAATATTAAAAAATATTAAACAACAATTAAGAAAATATTTAAGAATATAAATGTGTGAGAAAGAGAAAAAAAATGGTTGATAAGAGTCAATACCACTAATGATTCTAAACATAAAGATCTAAAAGTGAAATGTTATATCAATCTTTTACTGTTTGAAAATAAAATTTTGTGGTGGATAAAAGTACAATTAAGATTAAATACTCAAAACAAGAGATGAACTAATATTAATATCTGAATCAACATAGAATAAATTATCTTTTATGTTAAAACTAAATTATTAAATCTTTTAATTAATTATTTTGTAAGAGAACCCAATTCAATTATTTTTTTTAATTCATCATATGAGTAAAATTCTTATTCGAGTTAAAAAAATCTTAGGGTACATAAATTTATTCCATAAAAATATCGTTAGAACACAAAGTAAAAATGTTAGTATATTATTAATAATCAAAATGCTATTCAAGTATCTGAGGAAGTACAATCAAAGCTAAATCCTAAATAAAAACAAACTTTCAAGACTATATTATAAAGAGTCAACTATGCTATAACGGGATTATTCTTTGTAGATGCCTCCGACGGTATCGAAATAATATTTCTACGTCATGTATTACTTGCAAATATCATATCAAGAGGCATGGCACTGTATAGCAATAATAGCAAGTGATGTACCAACAACGATTTTATTGTGAGAGCTCCCACTTTAAATTTGATATACCTCTTCAAACAACTTAAATAACCATCACAAATATATCAAAGCAGAGCAATGGTGCTAAATTTATAAGGAAAGCAAAACTGATAATATGGGATGAAGCACTTATGGCTAAGTGTCAAACGATCGAAATAATTGCCCGGAGTTCTAGAGATATATTGGATATTAATGAACCCTTTGGTGAAGATCAATGGTTCGTGAGGTAATTTTATGTCAATACTACCAGTAGTTCCAAAATCGACAAAAGCAGAAACTGTAAAAGCTAGCTTGCCAAAGTTATACTTCTGGCCTCAAATGAAAAAGATTTAGCTGACAAGAAATATAAAGTAAGAGCAAATCCAGTATTCAGTGTCTTGCTTCATGTAGGAAATGAAGAAGAGCATCCAATAGATTTGGTTCTTCCTGAACACTTGGTTATCAATCCCAATGGTAATAGTGGTGCATTTAATGAGAGAAATATTTATATCATTAGATTAAATGCAATTTGTGCAAATCGCATGATAGAATTAAAAAGATATCTTAGCTAGCAGAAATGAATATGTTGATCAACTAAATAAAACATCGGTTGCAAAATTTTATAGTAAAAACAAAATATTTTTCTGTTTTTGACTCAGCAGAAAATGATACTAATAATTGCTATCAAGAAGAATACTTAAATACTTGAATACCAAATGGCCTTCTACCATACATGTTTGTTGTCAAGTTTATTATTTCTTACGTATGTTAGTGTTACCGTGTATATAATAGACTATGTAAAATTGATCTTCCATTGTATGTAGGTTGATTTTGAAGAAAAATATGCCCATCGTGCTACTGCAAAACTTAGATACGTCGAATGGCTTATGTAATAGCACACAGATGGTATATAGATATTTTGACAATAACGTCATACATGCAAAAATTATAATACTGGTCAATGTGCTTCTACGTATATTCTTATCCCTGAATTCAACTTTCATCTTTGAAAACTAAGGAATATCTGATTTAATTTAAGTGAAAATAATTTTTAGTATGTTTATGTTTTGCAAATATAATAAATAAAAATAAGGACAAACACACTAAATATTATACTATATTTACCGCAATATGTTTTCTTGCACGAACAACTGTATGTTGCACTTTCAAGAGGGATATCAAGATCGACAACAAGAGTTTTGGTTAAGGCATAGCAACCAAAGCATTAGGAGGAAACATACAAAAAAAAAAAAGATATTGTCCACAAAGAAGTGTTCGTTAAGGTACCATCACATTAAATATTTTTAAACTATAATACATAATTATCTAACTAAAATGATAAAATTGATCATTTGTGTAAGTTTTGATGATGTCCTTTTATTTTAAATTCAAGTATTATGCTAATGTAATAATATTTTTCGGCATTTACTGATTGTTGTATTATTATAATATAAAATTTCTCTCATTAATTAAATTTTATTGTTCCTACATATAAATAAATATTTAAATCGCCACGTGCTATTATTAACGTGCAACGCACGTTCATAAATACTAGTTACCAAAAAAATAAAAAAATACGAATCGATCTCAAGCAATATAGATTGAGGATGATTTCATATATATGAATCTTCATAGCAGTAATAATAGTAACAATAATAATGCAATAGGTTTTGCCACTCTATCTAACTCACTCGTTTTATAGTCTACATCATGGGGTAAACAAATGGGAACCTACTAAGAATATTGAGATATCAAATTACACAGAATCTTACCCTACCAAATTTCAATCAAGTTCTAAAGAATAATTTGAATTAAGTAATTAATTAATGTCTCTTCTACCAAGCTCGGGATCCATTTCTTCATGCTGTATGCTCGCACTAGAAATGTAATCTAAAGTTACAAATCATTCTATATTACCTATGATATCTACAAAAACTCCCCCACCAACTCACCAAAATCAAACTTCCCATTGCAGCACTCCACAGCATTGACTACTTCTTGAAATGCATTAACACTGCATGGCACCACCAGTCCACTTGTTTGCTCAAAGCCAAACTCATTGTACGTTTTCTCCAACAAAATCTTGAATAATGGATGGGAAAGATAGCTCGTTGGCACGACGAATCGTTCTCTTTCTTCCCCTACGTAGATAGCTAAGTTTCCTGTTGGTGTTGAGGACTTAGAATTTGTAAGAGACCATTCTTCATTGTCTTTAATAAGCAAGTATTCAACTTGTTGTGATCGCTCACGACAAATAGTACTGGTTATGAACTTAGCCTTCTCGGCTAGTTTCTTCACTGAAACTAACTTCTTGATCCCTAGCATTTTCCCCTTTGGATTTTGGCAAGAATTTGGATTGGAAAAGAAGAGGTGAAGAGGAAAATGGAGAGAAGAAAGCGTAAGGGAAAGAAGTTTAATTTCTTGACTATTCACTCAAAGAAAGGCATGGTTTTTATTTGTAGTGTGGTAGGTTACGTTGCTGAGAATTTGTCAAACAAAACTATATATGATTGTCGTCATTCATTTATTTCTAGAGATATACTTTTTAAATATTTTTGAATTGTCAATAGTTAAAAGAAATTAATAGATAATTAGAAATCAACACCTAGCCAATTTAAACGAAGAAGGCCTATTGTTTATTTGGACGGTATCACTCGACAATATAAAATTCGCTAGAAAAATAAACCTTTGTTAGGTATATAAATGGATGGAGGAGATCAAGAAGAGTTGCTTCTATAAAAAAATGCTTGCAACCATTAAAAATAGATTTGTTTAAATCAAATACCAAGTACCGACAACTACTTAACTGATGGGTTAGTTTACAACAAATTTTGGATTAGCTATAACCAACCTATTCAACCCAAAAACAAAAATATGTACCTTTGAATGATTGAAGCAATAATCATGGTTTAGTTGAAGGGCTGAACTTAATTCCTTGCTAACCATAAAAAGAAATGAGGGTTTTCTATATACATAAACTAGAAAAATCATTTATCACCAACTCATCAATTTGTTGGACGGCTTAACGTCCACTCTATAAGCCCTACGAAAAGTATTTATTATAATAAACTCTTTCAATTTAATTAGTCACTTAATTAGGTAAATAAAATTAGTCAAACTACCGAACTTAAAAGATGTAAAGGACAAGAAAATCTTAAATGTGGAGACCCCATAACGTGTGGAGAGAGCAAAATAGAGAATTGGGCAGATTAATGAGAGATTTAAATTATACATATATGGACAATATAAGTTTTTTTGTTTACATTACCGAAATAGTTTAACCTGTTATTATAGATAACTTATGCTTAAATATTGTGGGGTTAGCAATCAATACTAATCAACGACTTAGTGGTCGTTTACCCAGAATTGAAGGTATGAGAGAAACAAGGAAAACAGCTGTTTTGAGATTTTTTAAGAAATAGCTGATCGCGACTTCAACATCGTCACAAGATCAGAACATTCCTTGTGATTTTTTGACTTTATTTGATTGTATATTATTTCCTAACTTAGCTGCATAAAATGATTAGTACAAAAAATCGTACCTGCTGATTCTCGGAAAGGAGCATTGCAGAATTTTAATTCAAGCATATGTGAAGATGCTTCGATTAAGATTCTTCTTCACAAATCAAAAATTCAATATCACTTTGTTAATTCTATTATTATATTTATTTTTCCTTTATTTTGAAGTGATAGAAGATTTTCCAGACGTATTCCTGTCTACTTGTCAAGCTGGATGAATTTTCATAAATACACAAGATTAAAAGAGGTTTGGAATTCCCAAGTAGTCAAGCTTTGGAAATTTTATAAAGGACGCAAGAGAAAGTGCGATATTTGATTTATAATGTTACTATTCCTATATTATTATTATTATTATTATTATTTATTGCATAATAATCCTTACAATATTATATAGGAGTATTATCGTATAACACCTGAGCTTCTACATTATTATTCATCGTAGAAAATTCTTATATCATAATCTCCACCTAATTCTATGTGTGAAATTTGATTTTCTTGTTGTTTTTGGCTAAAATAAGGATCTAGTGGTGAAAAGCATAGACGGCACTCTTGGGTTTATCATATTAGCTTTTTTCTTAAATATATGTCAATGTTATAAATAGAATTTTATTTATGGTGAATGTTGCAATCTTAGTTCCTATTAGTTTATCCACAGTATTAGTGCGCCTTTAGTTGCAGCCTGTCTTTGTCTAGCTTGGTTTGTTGCCTTGTGTGTGTTAGTGATTTCCCTTAGTCTGCTGTAGGTATAGTGGCTGTGGTCTGGGATGGTCGAGTGAGGTCATGTCCTCGGGGGGAGCGGGGGGTGGGGCGGGAGGTAGGGCAGGGGTTAGGGGGTGGGTCGGGAGGCGAGGGAGGCAAAGGAAACAGGGGTGTCTATAGGTTAAGAATTGGGTCATGGAATGTGGGTACACTGACGAGTAAGTCTATAGAGTTGGCGAAGATTCTCCAGAAGAGGGGGGTCAATATAGCGTGTGTCCAGGAGACAAGGTGGGTAGGGTCGAGGGCGAAGGATACAGACGGGTATAAACTTTGGTACTCAGTAGTCCAGAGAGGTAAGAATGGAGTGGGTATCTTGGTGGATAGGGAACTTAGAGAGTCTGTGGTTGAGGTTAGACGAGTGAATGATAGATTGATGGTTATTAAGTTGGTGGTTGGAGAGTACACCCTGAACGTTTTTAGTGCCTATATGCCGCATGCGGGCCTAGATGAGGAGGTTAAACGACGCTTCTGGAAGGGGTTAGATGAGATTGTGCTCCAGGTTCCGCCTACAGAGAAGCTATTCATATGAGGGGATTTCAATGGTCATATTGGGGCGACCGCAGGTGGTTATGGCGAGGTGCATGGAGGCTTTGGTTTTGGAGAGAGGAACGGAAGAGGTACATCGCTGTTGGACTTCACTGAGGCTTTTGGGTTGGTGATTGCGAACTCTAGATTTCTGAAGAGGAAAGAGCATTTGATTACTTTTCAAAATGCGGTAGCGAAGACCTAGATTGACTATCTCCTTCTCAGGAGGTGTGACAGCGGGTTGTGCAAGGACTGCAAGGTGATTCCGAGTGAGACACTCGCGTCGCAGCATAGACTTTTGGTGATAGACATTGGTACTAGGTTAAAGAGGAGGAAAAGGTCTGCTCGGGGAAAACCAAGAATCAGGTAGGGAGCCTTGACTAAGGATAAAGCCCAAGAGTTGGAGTGCCGGTTGTCGGCTATGGGAGCTTGGAGGAGCAGTGGGGATGCGAACACTATGTGGACAGCGATAGCAGACTGCATAAGGGAGTCTGCGAGAGAGGTGTTAGGGGTCTCGACCGGTGTCTCTGGTGGGCACAAAGGAGACTGGTGGTGGAATGAAGTGGTCCAAGGTAAAGTGGAAGCGAAGAAGGCGGCATACCTGAAGTTAGTTGGGAGCATAGGTGAGGAGGAGAGGCGAGCGTGCATGGAGAGATATAAGGTAGCTAGGAAGGAAGCTAAAATGTCGGTCACGGAGGCTAAGACTGCGGCTTATGGTCGTATGTACGAGGAACTGGGGGAAAAAGGCGGGGAGAAGAAGTTATTCCGGCTGGCCAAGAGGAAGGCTCGAGATTTGGACCAAGTGAGATGCATCAAGGACGAAGATGGTAGAGTACTGGTGGAAGATGCCCAGATTAAGAGGAGATGGCAAACTTACTTTTATAAACTTCTGAATGAAAAAAGGGATCGTGATATTGTGCTAGGCAAATTGGAGCATTCTGAAAGTCACCGTGACTTTGGGCACTGCAGGAGTATCGAGCTCGAGGAGGTCTGGGGGCTATGCGTAAGATGAGTAGGGGCAGAGCGACCGGGCCAGACGAGATTCCAGTGGAATTTTGGAAGTGTGTAGGAAGAGCAGGTGTGGAGTGGTTGACTGGGTTGTTTAATGTTATTTTTAAGGCCAAGAAGATGCCGGATGAGTGGAGGTGGAGTACGGTGATTCCATTATATAAGAACAAAGGTGATATCCAGAGTTGTAACAATTATAGGGGTATCAAATTACTGAGTCATACCATGAAAGTATGAAGAGGGTGGTTGAAGCGAGGGTGAGGATGACAATTTATGTATCCGACAACCAGTTCGGGTTCATGCCGGGCCGTTCCACCACAGAAGCTATACACCTTTTTAGGAGGTTGGTGGAACTGTACAGAGAGAGAAAGAGGGATCTGCACATGGTGTTTATTGACCTAGAGAAAGCGTATGACAAGGTTCCTAGAGAATTTCTCTGGAGATGCTTGGAGGCAAAAGGTTTGTCGGTTCCTTATATTATGGCAATTAAGGACATGTGTGATGGGGCTAAGACTCGGGTTAGGACAGTAGGAGGCGACTCTGAGCATTTTCCGGTTGAAATGGGGTTACACTAAGGATCTACGCTCAGTCCATTCTTATTTGCCCTGGTGATGGATGCGATAACAAACCATATTCAAGGGGAGGTGCCATGGTGCATGCTATTCACCAATGACATAGTTCTGATTGATGAGTCACGAGTCGGTGTTAACGAGATATTGGAAGTTTGGAGACAGACTCTTGATTCTAAGGGTTTCAAGCTAAGCAGAACGAAGACAGAATACCTCGAGTGTAAGTTCAGCGCTGAGCCAGGGGAAGTGGACATCGATGTGAGGCTTGAGTCACAGGTTATCCCAAGTAGAGGCAGCTACAAGTACCTTGGTTCGGTATCCACGGGGGATGGGAGATCGACGAGGATGTCACACACCGTATTGGGTTAGGGTGGTGAAGTGGAGGTTAGCATCTGGAGTCTTGTATGATAAGAGAGTGCCAATGATACTCAAAGGTAAGTTCTACAAAGCGGTGGTTAGACCGGCCATGATGTATGGGGCTGAGTGTTGGCCTGTTAAGAACTCACATATCCAAAAGACGAAAGTAGCAGAAATGAGGATGTTGAGGTGGATGTGCGGGCACACTAGGATGGATAAGATTAGGAATGATGATATTCGGGAGAAGGTGCACGTGGCTCCTGATAACTAGGGATTTTGACGTGTTTCATGCTCCTTCTTGCATACGCTTTGATTATAAATTCTTATAAAATAGTCCCAAAAGGCTCATAAGTTGTGCTTGATTGCAGGTTTGATCAACAAAGTGACGAGATGTAAAAGATCGGCTCAAAAAGGAGTGAAACCTGCACAAGTACCAAAGACAAGACAACTCAGGACAAACAGGCCTAGTGCGGCCGCACTACACTTTGTGCGGTCCGCACTAGGGAGATTCAGAGACCTGGATTTTAAGGCATCAAAGCAGTGCGGCCGCAGTAGATATTGTGCGGCCCGCACTGAAGACACCGCGGCCGCACTACCATTTTATGCGGTCCGCGGAAGCAAACTTCAGAGAGATGTCAAGTGCCAAGGTTCAAGCCTGTGCGGTCCGCGGTCGTGTTTGTGCGG